CTGACGTGCAATAAGCTGGGGCTGAAACTGAAATGAGGAAGATAACAAGTAACAGAAGTATGGTTTGCTCAGTAATGGTTAGAACTATCACTGCCATCTAGTAGGAAAAAGGTTTTCGTAATTTTATTGGAAATAGTTTAGAGGATTCATCTTTGTAGCAGTAAATGTAATTAATCAGATCAAGGTAGCTCCATGTTCAACTTTAAATGAATATGACTTCGTGTTTTTCAACTTGGATTACAGTTTCAATCCTTGAAAAAGCAAATCAATCTTGAGGAAAAACAGTAAATAATTTCTTTTCTTTAAAGGTTGGACCTACTCACTATGAACTAATTCTGTCACCAGACATAAATCAGAAGAAGGAGCATTACCAGTGGTTTTATTTCGAGGTCAGTGGTGTCTGCTTTCTAATAAAATTTTCCAATCAAAAACTACATCTAATGCTGATTTTAGGTTTCGAATGTAATAAATGATGTTCCATATACGTTCGAGATAATTAACTGTTTGAAGACTACCTCCATGTATAGCAAAGGTACCGTCTAGATTTGTGATGCTAAGCGTTTAATCATTATTTTTGCATTTTCCCAGGAATGCAACCTGTTATGTACTCCGTATGTGATGCATTGGCTGGACATCGTGGATGGGTTCGAGCTGGTGATTGTGTTTGTTACTATCGAAATCTATACACTTCTGGGGAAGATAGTGATGTAGACGAAAGCAAGTCTAGAAAACGGTACTTGAGAGAAAACTTCAGTTGTTATAGGTTTCGAAATGTTTTTCCAAGTTTTCAGGGGCTTTTACTCGATTCGCTTCAATATAACATTTCATAATAAAGGGGATATATGCTACTTTGCTTACCATTTCCCGTATACATACTCATTTTTAAAGGTCAGTTGCGTTTGAGAAAAATTTCATTGAAAAATGGTTGTATTTATGTACAATTTAGACCAGTTTGTCGAGGTATCTCTCTCAAATACCTTCAAATTTGTACTACTCGAACGATACCATAGGAGAGTCTCTTGGTGGCAATCCATTGAACCTACTTACTATCACTGCCCAAGGTTCACGAGAGCAGGTCAGCAGCCGGGATATCGTATTCTTGAGCTCGCGTGTCCATCCCGGAGAGAGCAACTCAAGTTGGATGATGCATGGTAAGTGCTTTTTTCTTGAGCCTTCTGCAAATTTCTGCACAATAAAAGACCTCGCCCTTATCACTAATTACCAAATAAAACAAGGAAACAGTTCTAAGCATGTAAAAATTAAATTAAAATGATTTGAGGGAATACTGTCCTTTTAAAAATCCATGCAGTTTTTATCTTCGTAAAAAGATGTTTAGCTGTTTCATTTCATCAAAAATAAATCATTAATGCAAATTTTCTAGAATTGATCTTACCTCGCTAGGAATTCTATGTATGAAATTGCAATTATTCTTGCTTTTCTTTCTAGGAATACTCGAAACACTTCTAACGTCA